TCAGCCTTAATAGAAACTATCGAAGACGTGTACTTACTCTTCTTTAATAAATACCTGAATTCTGTGCAAAATTAAATGGATGAATGGGCTTTTATAATGCTTGGGAGTCATGTGTAGACATGCCACAGGGTACAGATTAACCTGTATTTTCTTCACAGTCATGCCTACAGAATCATAGAAGAGTAAGGCTTAACAACATTCACTAATCCATGATTATGTGTCAGTGCAGGTTCAGCTCTATTTAGGCGAATCCTTACCATTGCCTCTCTGACTTCTTCTGAAAGATCTCCACTAATGGAAGGTTCACATCTCTAAGACAATCTGCTTCAGTGCTTCAATATTCTTTGCTTTAGAGAGCTATTTTCTAGTTTCCTTTCTATGATTCAATTGGAAATCATAGATACTGTGAGCATAAGGAATAGGTTATTCTCTTCGTTTTTCCCATGTTGCACGGTTGTGCTGAATGTAAAAATGATAGTTAAGTGTTGCAGCAGGGCTGTGCTGTCATCCTCTCTAGAAACAGCCAAGGAAACACATTAGGTAAATGAAGCAAGGCGTAGATTGGGTAGTGTAAGACCTTAATAAAAATTGATTTGAGACTTTTCATGGATTTTATTTTCCTTCCAGTCTTAAAAATTATGATTCCTTAGGTACACGTTGGGTTTCCCTCTATTACCCATAACAGTTGAAAATAAAACTGTAACTGGTTCTGTTTTTTCTGCAAGTTGATACGTTAGAAACTATTGTACACTTGTTTTTACAAGAAGGTAGTAAAACTTGTACCACTTAAATATGCATTTCAAAATGTGTTTTGGCTGGTCAGAAAGTTGGGGAGCAAATTGTGTCGTGTTCCTAACAAGAGCAAGTGGCTGAATCAGTCAAGGGAAGTTGCCTTTGTTCTAATAAAGACTTTCAGTCACTGAGTAACAACCAGAATAAAAAGGCTATCAAAAGTGGAAACCATCCATTGCAGTTCTGCTAGTGTGAAAGGTTAGTGTTTGGTGAAGTTGCTTGAATAGATTAAAAGGAGACAATCACTGCTGTGAGTAAATTCACTTGAGACAAAGTACATGCTTAAGCACTTAACACAGGAGCAGTGTTCAGGGAGTTCTGTGGAGAAGAGAATTTGCTGTTCTACTGGCATTTTTACTCTTTGCTGATATTCATTTATGAACACTGTTAAATGTATATAATACTTTCATTCATTGATGAAAAGGGAGGGTCAAACCAGAAAGTCAGGTTCTTTGCAGATGATGTGTAGAACAAGGTTTTGCTGTTACCATTAATAGAAGGTAAATCACAGGAAGTCCCCAGGGAGAGCAGAAAGTAAACTGAAATGTAGCTTTAGGGAGAAATTCCTGATAACAAACTAATTGAAGTAACTCTAAGTTGAAATACTAAGAAAGGAGAAATTGAGAGTGAAAAATGCTGTGAGAATGGAAAGAAAATGAGGCAAGAGTATGTAATGTATTGTGATGGTAACAGAACAGGCCAAGACAATTTCAAACTGTGCTGGTGTAGCCTTATACAACAGAAGAGTGTTTGTCTTGTGCTGTGCTGGCACAGACACTGTACGCCACTTTGTTACCAAAGCTGTACTGACAATTCTGAAGAAATACAGGGAAGATGAAGAGCAACTACTAGAGAGAAACTAGTGAAGAAATACTATTTGAAATAAACAAGCCATACCACGCCCCTGCACCCAAGTCCTAATTCTTATCTCATGGAAGTCTGGAGTTTAGCTTCTCCTCCTCCTTTTTTGTTTCTGTGCTGTAATGAAGCAGTTTCTAACTTTGCTACTCAAGTTCATATGAGAAGACTCCATGTCTGTCTCTGCAAAGAGCAGAAGATCTGTATTCAATGCAGATGGCAAAATTTGTACACTAGAGGTGATTAATAACTAATTTTTTTTCCCATGGTTGTGGTTTCTAGTGTGGAAAAAAACTTTGAGCACATTTAAAAATTTTAATTGGAAAGAGCAAAATAGTGATGTTGTTTGTTGTTCCCTAGTTCCATAATCATTATAACAAATTGTTTAAAGCATTTTACAGACAGATCTATGTGATTCATGAAGCAATCAGCAATGTCAAACCTGTGTGCGTTAGAGAGGTGTTTTTTCTGTAAAGAGGAATGAAAACCTAAAGAACTTTCTGAACTTAGGGAATAGATTGTTGCAGGCACCAAAGTGGAGCATGGGGGAGAAGGCAGAGTTTTGAACATTCTCTTATGTATACAGGACAGGAGAGACAAAATAAAGAAACCTTTGTGCTAGATACTTGTTAGTCATTTTCTGAGATACAAACCCAAACATTGTAAGGCCAAATACAAAGAAATTAATAAAGCTCAAGTTTGACAGTAGGTAAATATTTGGTTTCCTGAACCCCCTATAATGTTCGAGTATCATCATGGACCAGATTATCATTTCAGACAAATACAAATGAGGAGCAAATTAATACAAATCAAGATCTTTAGCAGAAGTGAGCTGAAGGTTTGCTTAAAAGGCTCCTAAGGCCATTTACAAGCTCTGGAAAGAATGTTTTATCACTGAAAAATGGCAACTGTGATGAGGGTTTCTGTTCTATTCAAACAAGAATCAATTACATATGAGAAATTCAGTCTTCATTCACTCTGTTCCATCATAGTATGACTGTAACATAGTTGAAGATAATATTCCAACAAAGACTTTTTGCAAAGGAGTTTTGGTTCCATAAAGTATTGCAGCGAAGTTTCCTTCTGATTGAAATTCTCTAATTTTGGAGGTGTGACGATTGTGCGATTTCAGCAGATCTTTCTCAACTAGAAAAGCAAATTGCAAGCAGCTTTCTCCTTATTGCAAAGTGATGTTACCTAAAAATCAGCACTACACTGAAGCACATTTGAGGTCATAAATGCGTATTTGAGTCAATTTTCTCTGCAACAGAGTTTTATTTAATTGTGTCTGTTTTGTATGTGCTCACCTTTTAGCCTGCACATATTTGTAAGGCAGGAAAGTTAAAACAAATGCTTTCCTGAACTGGTATGCTGACCATTGTAGAGCTAACACTGTTCAACTGTTTTGAAGCATTAATCACAGTTTTCATTAAAATAGATATAAGGGGAAAATTGGAAGTGAACATACTTTTTTTATTTAAAACCTCTGGGCAAACTATGAACTTCTGTGCACAGCCTCTGTATGTCTTGGAAGTAGATTGGTCTCAAGTGAAGAGCTTGTGATGTTCTATCCATCTAAGGCTGAAATATTGCATGTTGTTTTGATTTTGTCTAACACTCATGACATGCTAAGTAGGGTTTATGTATTCTTTATGCTGAGATAATTTGTTTACATGTACTTTTCTTTTTGCTTTCTGTTTTGATTACATTCTGACTGTCACTTCATACATTTGTTTTGTGTAATATCTGTACCTGCCTCGTATTTTTCTTTAACCCAAAATTTGAATTCTTGTAGAAGTTTTTGACGGACCATGTGTTCTATGTGCTATGTCAAACATACACTTATACTGAAATGCTTCTTGTAATTGAAAAAAATTGTCTGCAGCTACAAATGCTCATTCAAATTGTTGGTTTTGAAGCATGTAACATACGGCATTTACCTGGAGATTGTTGTGATACCAAGTGATAAACTTCAGGTTTTCCCATGCAAACCAAATTCAAAGAACTAGTCCTTTGTATTGCATTTTGTCATAGTAGTATGATCTACATAAAAGAACCATTACCTAATGTACTTCTAAACAGAAGGTGACTGCATTGTCAAAGACTGCTGGTGAGTAATTGCAGACAGTGTGCCAGACTGTGACTAACTGGGTACAAAATTTTAAGATTAAATCATTTAAAAACTAGTAATGAGTTTTCAATGCAGCTTTTCTTCCTGTAATCTAAAATGCTTAAAATGGACTTAATTTTAAATGTTAACAAAGTATTATCTGTATTTATTTGTAAGCAAATGCAAAATGGTCTTAGAATATAAGTGCTCCTTTTTGGGTTTGGGGATGACAGCATTGTTCAGATTGATCAAAAGGAAATGAAGTAAATGGTCAGATTCCGCATAAGAAAATAAAGGAAATGTCACTCTAGCCATTATCTGGATACAGTCAATATAATAGCCTGTGTACTGTGTCCTTTTGAAGTAATGTGATAGTCTAGATTTTTTTGCTAATGAATAAGCATTTGTCATGTAAAAATCATCCCTGAGGAAGTATCTCATGTAAGGAATTAGTGCAGTTGAAGAGACATATGGATTACAGAAGGCCATTAATTCAGAGGTCCTGTTAGAGCTCAGGTGAAGTACATTGCATTTTTTCCCTATTCATTATATATCCCAAGGTGTAACAACAAAACTATCCTCAATGCTAGTCTATTGTGAATGTTCATTGATTATGTGCAATAGTGATAGAGAGCTTTCATGTGTGAATGCTGCTAGCCTAGGGGAAAAATAAGTTGAATAAAATAAGTGGTGAAAATTACCTGTTCACAGTTTTACTTTGTTAATGTCAGAGTGTATATGACCACAGTATTCAACTACCCGGCACAAATGGCTTCTAAAATAATGGCATTTTAGCGGGGGTTTGGGTTTTTTTTTCTCTTTCAGTAATGAAACTTCAGCAGTACTTCAGCTATCCAATTGCATTGACTTAAGCCTCAGGCTATGCCAGGGAAGGTTCAGGTTGGACATCAAGAGGAATTTCTTCATAGGAAGGGTTGTTAAACATTGGAATGGACTGCCCAGGGAGGTGGTGGAGTCACCATCTCTGGAGGTGTTCATGAAATGACTGGATGTGGCACTTGGTACCATGGTCTATTTGACAACACGATGATCAGTCAAAGGTTGGATTAGAGGATCTTAATGATTCTGTGATTCTAAGATCATTGTAACCTTTCTGTTACTCAAGATGTTTTTTGATTGCATTATGTATAAAAGAAACAAGTCTGAAGATAAAAATAAATTGAGTGCTGGGTTACAAAGACTTATAGAAAAATCCAATCTTTCTTTTGTTGCATCCTAGGAGGCTTTTCGATGGGAGGTGGAATGGCAATGCATGTAGCATATAGGTTTCATCAGGATCTGGCAGGAGTCTTTGTACTGTCTAGTTTTCTTAATAAAGACTCTGCTGTTTACAAGGTGAGTATGTGGTAGACATAGAAAAACTGCTTAGCTAAATGGAAAACATGGTAATTAAAATTGAATATATCATGTTTATTCATCGGAGGCAATTGATTCATATTCTAAACTTATGCCATTTCCTGGAAATAGATAAGCAGACTATTGGGGAAGTGAGGCTTTAAAGCTGTCCATACATGATCTTGTGTTGCTTTTTTTGCATAGACAGTACAATTATTAGAAGTGTAGAAGGAGCTTAACAAATTAATTTCTTCGCTAGTTTTCCTTTGTTGTTAAAGAGTCTGTAAGCAAAACTGTGCTTTGAAAATTTGTGATGAATTATAATACTCATGGGCTCCATCTGCTGTCATGAATTTTTTCTCTTTTTCTTATTTGGAGAGGGGTATAGACCTTAAAGTAAACCTTATCATTTGTCAAGAGTTAGCATATTGGAATTTAAAGGCATTTTTTTACATTATTTCCTTGTTTACTTTTGTAGAGATAGTACAGTATGACCACTAAAATGCAGATTAATAAATGCAATGCTATGTAAGTTGTCACAATGTAATTGTAACTATTCTTTTAAATTTTTTAGCAATATGTCTGACAGTATCTCCTTTCCATCTAGGCTTTGAAAAGAAATGAAAGTGTTCTTCCAGAGTTATTTCAGTGTCATGGAACTGCTGATGAACTAGTTCTCTACTCATGGGGTGAAGAGACCAACAAGATGTTAAAGTCACTGGGGGTATCAGCATCACTTCATACCTTTCCAAATCTTAATCATGAGTTAAACAGAACTGAAATAGAAAAACTAAAATCCTGGATTGAAAAGAAATTGCCTGTTGAAGCAGCAAAGGCAAATGAATAAAAGAAGATCCAGCCTCGTGTAATTCTTGATTTCTGTGGGTTTAAGATCACGTGTGGAAGGTATATGGGTGTCCCATATCCATTATGTAAGCACAGCTTCAAGGTAGACACTCTTATTGTCCGTAAAGTTCACCTAAGTGGTAGAATGATGGCGCTGACTATTAAAACTGATTTTATTATATGGGTTCCTTTTTGTATTCTCTTGTCTATTTTTTAAATACATATCCACATCAGTCTACAGAAAACAATGACCAATAATATTAAAATCATTCCAAAATAATGAAAACAGTGTTCGGGAAGTGTTGCTCTGAATCTCCCAGATTTTTTTGGGGGGGAAGGGTGGAAGGGACTCCAGGGGTTGTTCTAGAATGGAAAAATACACAGTGGTATGGCTGTTTATAATGACATTACAGCAGAAAAAGGCCAGTTATTAAAATAATGCATATGTTCAAGTTAGTTCAGGGAGAGGAACAGTTGGATTCTCAGCATATGGCAGTGAACCTACCTCAAAGCAGACTTGTATGTCACCTCAAAAAAAATGAGGTTTATGTTATATTTTTTAAAAAGTCCTAAGTAGCTGTGTCTAGCTATACCACAGGCCCTTGTTATTACCCTTTCTCATTGTTTTGTTACTCAGAGATCTAGCTTTGTTTGAGTTTCTTGAGCCCTGTGTGGTTTATAGTGTCATATACTTCAAAAAAGAAGTGCCATCATGATTGTTAAGATCTGTCCTGTTTTTGAAGAAATCATTCTTTGGGCACTGTTCCTGTAGAAACTTATTTTTGCCAAGAGTTTTCTTTTGGCCTGCGAGATCACATTTTAAATAAAAAGATGAGGATACTTGACTCCTTCGTGAATATTTAAAAGTTGTAAATAATGATTGTGATATAAAGAAAACTTGTATCCCATTATTTTAATAGTGGATGATTCATCTCTGTGTCAGTTTGATAAATTAACTCAGAGTATAAATATCTATTCTTATGTAATTGTAATGCCTTTTTTTTTTATTTCTCCCCCCTCTGCCCCATTTTCTACTCCCCAAATTCGGTAATTTTTTTAGCATGAGAAGGTATTCAGCCTTTTGCCAAAGCCAATAGATCCAAGTCTCTTGCTTAATCTTTTCCTTTTCCTTTTTCTGAGGAGTGGATCTAGGACACTGTTGTTTGCTCTGTCACAGCAGATTGCTGCCAGTACTGACTATGACTCCAGAAGTATCAGCCAGCTCCGGAGGACTTGAGAGTTTTATTCGAATCCTCGTGCACTGAGACCTAAGCCAGCTTTTACCTATCTTGAAGAATAAGCAAAGGGAAAAAAAATGTCACTGTTCAAGTACAAGGCATGTAATTGGCAGTAGCAAGTAACAACTTCCTGCTGCTAAAAATATTTTGCTTTATTTCATTTTCCTAGCATTAGCAAGTCAGCAGTCTGTTCTGAAAAACAGCATTTTAAATGGCACATGAAAACTCAGCTATTTGAAACAGTAAGTGAACAGCAGTTTTTCCTGGTGCCCTAGGCTTCCTAATTACTACAAATTAAATTGAAACAGGTGTGTCCAGAGGCAGCTGAGCTAACATTGCCTTGGCCCAACTCTAATTACAATCCTTGACAAGTGAAGTAGTAGCATTTTAGCAATAATACATCATTTTGAGTTTTGTCCCATTTTCTGCTCTTCCTGCAGTTCCTATCAAGAGGCTATTTGAGTCACTAATGCAAGGTGGTAATTCATTTTGGTGACAAGTGCATTCAGATGGGAAAGCGGCAGGCTTCTGGCAAGGTGGCTTTTAAAAAGGTCAAAGAACAGCGTAAAACAGTTGAAAGAAGATTGTCGAGGGAATAGAAATTATTACCAAGGCCAGCTCCTTTGATTGTTTTTGAGGTGTCAATAATTGCAAATACAGTGGATGCAGAGTTTGGCTTAGTTCCCTTGATATAGGCTGAGAAGCAATTACAAATGTCTGCATTTCATGACATCCTTAGAAAATAGTAAATCCCCAGTTTACTTTCTTCCATCTTCCTTGGCTTGTGAGTGAAATGCCAACTAATCAGGAGATGCATTGTGGCATAAGACTGTAAATCTATTGGGTATATGTTGTAATGGAGTCCCAAATCTCAGAGTTTTTGAGGTCACTTTCAGGATGTTGGAAAACTCAGTAGTTTTCCTTCAGTCTGCAGGTAGCTACAGTGAGGACACTGTGACTCGCCGATCCCATTTGCTGAGGATGGTGTGGCTCTGTGTCCCAGATGGTGCCTAGCTCATATTGGACAAACAGATTGAAGTTTAGCCCAAAAAAATTTGGACTGCTGGTTGGTATTGAGAAGCAGCCAGAGGCAATATTAGTCCTTGAAGACAGTGGGCCTGCTGTTAGATCTCTAGTCAAATGAAAACTTTAGTAGTCAAAATTAGCTAAGCTTCTTGACAGCATATTTCAGGAGTAATTCAGATAGGGTTTTTTTTTGACCTGGCCCTTTTTACCACACTTTAAAAAAAAATCATTTTTAATTTGATACTGGAAACAGGGCAGGGGTTTCTTTGCTGAAAGGACATCTCAGCAATGCTTATGGCACTACAGCTCCAGAACCCGCCTGTTGATTTCTGGGTGGAGTTTGAAGTGCTTCATAGAATCTTTAGGGATCGAAGAGTTCCCTTTTAACCGGTTGCATGTTGTTGGGTCAGAGTTTCTGTAGCAGGTGCCAGAGCCCTGAACTGGTATGTCTTATCAGCTGAATCTTGATTCAGATGAAGGGAATGAAAAAGAACACAACTGTTTTCATTCATCCCTAATGTTTCACTCCTGATCATACAAAAATTTTACAGAGAAAGATGCCATCTTCTCTTAGGAGGAGCAAACTCAAGGTGCTCTCCTTTTTCTGTTTTTCCCCTTTGTACATGAGCTTTCTCCTGTTTCTGTTCATGTTTAAATATACAGTCCTGAACAGCATTTTGAGGAATAAATTGCAAAATTTTAGTGCCAAGAATGGATCTGTATCACTTGAGTTACTGAAGATATGAGAACATAACTTAGGAAGAAGATGGCTCTGTGCTGCTCCAGAAGAGGTAGGAGCAATTAGTTGGAGTGCTGGTTTATGTTCCTATTGTAACTCTTTTGAGGTCTTTTTTCTTTCCTTTCAAATTGAGATAAGAGCTTGACTTTTAAGTACGAACTTTTAATACCGTTTAAAAATATAACTGGAATAACTGATTGAGTAAATCCATACAGGTTGATATTATTATCTTGGGGCTTGATACTGTTTTGGTGAAACACACAATTCAGTAAGCAAAAGAAAACTAGTTTAATATAAACTTTAACTCTCTTGGGCTCAGTTACTGTGTTCCACACTGCTTCAGAAACAAAGCAGTAGTGTTTGGACTTTTTTTTTCTTTCTACTTTTCTGACGCTACACATTTGTATTTCAGATGTTTGAAATTTGTGACTAGATCATTACTGTGAACTTGGGTGCCTTCTGAGTAATTAATGTGTTCATACAGATGTATAGAACCAGAGAACAAATGTGACTAAGGCAGAAATTGGCTGATCAATGTGGGAAGCCAGAAGTCATTGGTACTGTAATTTTGACATTAAAGTAAGAAGTTCTCTACTTATATTAATCTCTTCTCATGTTAGATCTTTCACTGCCTTTTTAGTAAATCATCTTTAAAGTCATTTAACAAGTCTCTACAGATGAAGTGAGCCAAGTGGGTGAATGTAACTTGTATTTATAAAGATGAGATCCAGATGGCAAAACACGGAAGCAGGAACCTAGTGAACGATGTTAGAATGAAACTTGTTAAGATGGAGGAAAGCGAATATGAATTTACTTTCCAGTTGACACATATGCTAGGACAGCTGAGAAGATTTTTTGGGAGATCTTAGAAGAAAAACCTGTTCTGTGAGTTTTCCAGCTTGAGTCACCCTTCATTTGTGATACAGCTTAAAGGTGCTCTAGAGAAAGGAAATAACACAATTACCGATTTATGTGGTTTCCTACATTTGTTTATTTTCTAAATCCTCTTCTGTTGTGGGAACCTGATATCAGTACTCAGAAGAAAGAGAAGCTGGCAGTTCTATTTTCAATCCAAGTTGTCTGTTCAAATGTTTCTCTATACACTGCGATAGGACTTAGCAACATCCTGTTCACGTTCATATCAACTGATCAGTAGCACCCAGCTTATGGGAGACAAGTGCTTTTCCTGTACAGAGCTGTGAGTGAAAATATTTTTCTTTACAAATGAGAGCCAGAAGGAAAAGGCAGTGGTTTCCCCACTCCCATTCTGTACTTCAGCGGCTAGTGTTAGCTAAAGATGTGAAACCTCTGCCCGTCTGAGCACGTTCACCTGTGTGCCAGGACTTAAAATGTTATATGGTCAATTTATCTAATACCTTTTTCAGTATAGACCTGTATCATTATTCAGTAAACCAGAGGATTCCAGATTTTGCTTTGCTTAGGTCAGTGCCTGCAAAATAATTATGCTTGTTCTCCATCTCTCTCTTACGGGGGGTTTAACTGTTGCAGTTGAAGTAGAGAGGACAGTATCCTACATCAGTGTGCTAATTACTGGTTTCCATAATTTCCTGGGAGTGTGGGATGCTGACCTGCACCCTCTCAGGCAGAGGTGGGAAATGAGCTTGTTCCCTGTGCCTTGGGTGAGCATTATGTTTACTGAACAGTTAGATTAAAAAAAAAATAAATTTAGAAGAACCAATGGTGTGGATCTAGTAAGGCCCCTTATTCCCCAGGGCACAGTGTTAAGCCTGACTACCTTAGCTAACCTGCTGTCATTGAGGTAGGTTTTGTAAGTTTGAAGTACAGAAATTCCATCCTTTTGTTAAGCCCGTGAGGGCTGTAGACCCTGCTTTAGTGAGGAGGCATCTGAAATCTTTTGTGGGTTCACTGTGTGAATCTATAGGAGCCCTTAAAAATGCAAGTAGAAGTTGGTTTCTCCTTATTAAGTGCTATAGAACAGTTGTGTAATGAGTGCTAGACATTATTCTTGGATCATTAATTTCTAGTGACAAGGAAGTTAGATTCCTGAGAACAAAGCCAATGAGACTTTGTAACCTGGGCCTTAATACATAGTGGAGATTGTCTAAATAGACCACAGATTCACCACTTCAAAGGGCCAGTATTTTGTGGTCAGAGGATATTTTGCCCAAGGTTCTTGAAAGTAGTTATTGTTTTAAGTTAAATTACATGAAGGAGTAATAATCTAAAGTCTGCAACTCCAAATAAAAGCGTAGAAGAATTAATTGTTTGCTTGTGCTGTCTTGGTGTAATTAAAGGTGTTTGTCAGACTGTATACTAGTAGACATCAAGTACATCAGATCATAGTTCGAATTGAAGCCATCAAGATGTTACTGTCATGTATACAGTAGAAAAACTGTAAAAATATGAATTCTGCTGCTTCTTGGCCTCTAAAATATGCATAACTAAATGAGACTGCAAGGATTACCTGCTGTCATAGTTGATCTTAGTGTAAAAAGTCCTTTTTGGATCATGTTTGAGCCAAATAATGATATTCAAGCATGTGAACAACCTCTGGTGCCTTAAAGCCTATGGTTCCCACTGATGGATCTATGTAGAAAGTCTGGCTTCAAAGATGGAGTTTGTTTTGTTTGAGTGTGGAGGATTTGGGGTAAAGTTCTTAATGTAGCCAAGGTCTTGTGAGGGGCAGCCAAAATAATTATGAACCTTAGTCACAGTAGTATGCCAAAAATGCAAAGGCAGTGATTTAATACTTCCAGAGTAATAAGAATGGTTGAATGCTCAACCATCCTTCCCTTCCATAGCTGTGTTGCTAATCTCTATCCCACTTAAGGTATGCTTATATATCTGAGGAAGGTCTCTCTTTTGTGTTTACTTTTTTATGAGGTGTAAGTTGGCATAATTTGCAGGTTAATGTGATACAGGATTCAGGCAACAAACTTAATGTTACTTAAAACCGAGCTCTTTCTTCTCTTTGCACTGCAGAAATAATAATGGCT